ATAGCCTAAGCGGATTACACTTGGCAGGAATGCTAGCATCTGACAGCCCGTGGTTCAGGTTCGAACCTGGTGATCCTTAATAGGTGATTTAGTACCGTCTGTCTTCGTGAGCTGCATTTGACTTGGCTGCCCGCTTTCTTATGTTAACTATTTCATTGTCATAGTTGTACGGTATCTGTTGCTAGGACCCACCTTTCGTGACCAAACAGAAGAAAGGTCAAGAATTTCGCCCAAAAACCCTTCCAATGCAAGTACTTTCCCCTCCGCATCCTCCAAAGATATAGTGCGATAAATGACTGACTGTTCTTCCAACGAAGGCATAATTTATGTTCACCAGAGGGGTTTTTGTTTCTCGCTGGAGTTTCGGAGAGCTGGACCTGCTCTCCATTATCAAAGCGTCAACTGTCTGAGAATATTTGGCTGAACTTGTCGGCCTTGGACTGATCGATTTTTTTCTCTCCTTCGCTGCTTCGGCCCTCGTATTGATGTTTGTATAGCTTGACGGTCGTTGGTGTTGCGCTTCGTTCCCACGGTGGAAGGTGCTATAAATCCTGCTTTCTCTTCCGATGTGTCTGTCGTGGGGCCGTTTTCGCTCGCATTTATTAAGTTCTGTGTGACCTTGACCTTGACGATGGTGGGCAACAGTATGTTCTCAGATTTCCATTCCGGAACTCTCCCTTTTTGGAACTTGAATAGTTTGGTTTATAGCTTGTTCTTCATTAGCTAAAAGATCTGTTTTATCGATCGAAAAACATTAAATCAAGTAACGGAGGAAATTACTTCTGTACCCGAAACTGTTAATTTTTGCCTCAATGTGGTTAGTTTTCCTTCTATAAAACCGATCCGAAATGAATGCCTCTTCAGTAGAAGGCTTCCTGAGTCTCCAATCAATTCAACAGAGAAAAATAACAACATCAAAGGTATGCCGATAAACCCACCCAAATATCGATTACACCATTTCTTGACTTATGTCGTCTACGGTAATTTATTAAGCTTAGATCTAATGATATATTTGAACATAAAAACACATGGGCAGAACCAGTGTGCTACGGACTTGACCGTGACCTCTAATCACCCGATCTATCCCACTTATTCCTGTGGTAGAAATAGCTGTCCACGAGACTCGGCGTGGTAGATTTTGCCAAAACTGCTACAGTATAAAACATCGCGTCCACACTAATGATCACTACGCATTTCCGGCATGGAGTAAGCACGTTTTTTTATAAATTAACTCGCCCTATTTTTCAGATATATTGGCTGTGCCGTTTCCCTTTTTGCAACAGCATCAAATGCAAGATCTTTAAAGAGCCTCACCAAAAGGACGAACCGGTGAACATCTTGGCACCAACCCCAGCGGATATCGCCTATGAGGAGATGTTTGCCTCCCTCCCAGAGCACAAATACGGTCCCCGTGGTCTGCTGGAAATCAGCTCAAAACGTTGTCTTCTCCAGAATAAGATGAAGGAGCGCCCGTTCCCGCGCTGGCTGCGGCGCCGCTCTTCACCTACCACCGACGC